AATTATCAAAATTTTATATACATATAATATATAAACTTTGTATGAAAATAAATATATAAAAAAATAAATTTTAATAATTAAAAATAAAAAAATAAATTATCAAAATTTTATATACATATAATATATAATATCTGTATAAATACATTTTTTCTTATATATATTAAAAAAATTAAATTATAAAAGCAGGTAATCATCAATTTTTTATTAGATTTTAAGAGAATAATTTAATAAAATCTAACAAAAACTATTAAATGTGTACTGATTTCCTTAAAATAAAATTTGAATATGAAAATTTAGTTTGATTTTTTTAAGTACTAATTTATTTCAACTCAAAAATATTTCACAACAATTTACACTTCTAGTCATAAAAATAGGTAGGAAAAATCTTATGTTTTAAACCCCTAAACTTACCTCAAAATTTTGATTAAACCCATAAATTTTTATCAAGGCAAATAATCTTTTGAACTTAGTAATTTAGATAATTTAACTCTCTTTTTTATGATAGATTTAATACTTATTTGTACCTTATTTGCATAAATAATATATTAATATATCATCTCCTAAGTGATAAATATTAATTTTATTGATACAAATAAAATACGAAAAAATGTTAAATCTATTGTTTAGAAAATGATTAAATTGTTTAAATTTCCAAATTTATAAACTTTTTTTTTTAACATGCATGAGAATCCAAATCTATAAACTTATTTACTTTAACAAAAATTTAAAAACTTAATTAAAAAAAATCTAAGACAAATTTAAGAGTTTAAATAAGTTTTGCCAAACAAAAGATATAGTGGGGGCAGAGGAGTGCATGCATGAAAAAAAAAATTGAGATTAATACTTCAAATAATTGGATCAACGGCTATTGGCCATTTACATGGCAACTACATCAACTGACAGCGCCCATGAGCTTTGATTCATGGAATTGACCGTTAAATCGTTTCCCTTTCCACCTGATATATAAAGATGCCAGCTCCTTTATACGCTACCACCAAATTCGACCGTTGCAATTTTTTAATGATTGTTAATAATACACCTGTAAGTATAGTTTCATTTTTCGATTAAAAGTTATGCTTTAAATCTCCGGCTACTCCCTCTAACACTCCTCCTGGGTTTCTATTCCTTGTTTTTCAGACACCAGTCAAGGACACCGGACTTTGGTCATCAGGAAGAACCCATATTCGATGACGAATCCTCCTTCCGAGTTATTTTGTAAATGGATAAACTATTAATTCTACATTTGTTATACATACGAATACACGAGCTGATCAAGAAAAAGTTACACATACAGCATGATTACACTTGCTTTACATCAGGCTGATTGATTTTGTAAATTCAGAAACGACAGAAAATCATAAAAATAAAACTGTTACTTGAAGGGTGGGACTCTTGATATTGGGGGCTCACCCCTCCATCAAAGATTGATATAGCTGCCTGGACTGTACTACAGCATTTTCATGTACTAAACTAAACTTTTCCGAGTGCTCTGACGTTGATGAAAAGTGAATTACATTGAAGTTCTTTTATTTCTTTCTAAGTTTTTATGATGTTTTACCATGAATCAGACAGGGAAGGAAGGTGAAATCCAAACCTAAGCAGTTCAAAAATCCATACCAGACACATTGCACTTAAAACTTGATAAAATAATACAATGAGAATCGAAGTTCAAAAATGTGATTTTGTCACACCACACCACACCCATTGACATCCTATTTAAGATAACAAAACTAATACATGATTATCAGCAAGAACAATGGCTCAGGCTTACACCCTGGTTGCTAGAAACTGAACAGACATTATCCAGGTTACAAAATCTGTTCTTTGCTATGGCTTCAAACCTTGACAGATCTGGATGAAGATCTTGTAGCCTTAGGCCTTAACCATGATGCCTTTCTGAACTGGGGTTTGCAGATCCGGCCAAATTCTGCAGACAGCCCAAAGTACGTTAGAAAATGTGTTTTGGTTGGTAGCAAAACATTACCTTGTTATATATAGCATGTTTCACCTTGTATGTCCTCACTTTCCAGAAGCTTCACCACAAGATGCCCCCCTGCTTTAAGTACTCCAGCATTATCCGAACAAGAAGTTGAATGATCTGGCTGTCCTTCCCTACTATCATCATCTGGAAGGATGGCAGCAGACCCAACAGCCAAATCAAGTGCTCTCACCCCTAACTCAAATGATAAAGCTGCATCCTTAGTTGTAATTCCAGAAACCAAGGGACACATATCAGAGAGTATTACTGAGAACCCTTTCTGCTGCAAACATACAAAAACAAACCACATTTATGAGTATGAGACTATTCCTAGGACAGAGAAAGAGATCCCTAGAGTTAATTTTTTTAGATCAGCCTTTCCTGGGAGCCAGCTATGGCTGCATCGTGGTTGGTCTGTCTCCCTTTTCAAAAGAAGGTTATTTCATCAAACCAGAAGATTGGGGCAAGAAAGTTTCAATACCTAGCCACTTGCAAAAATCCACTTACTGACAATTACCATAAAATAGAAAAAACTCTTACATCTATTTCCATAGATGAAAAAATACCAAAACTGCAATGGGAAAATTTTATGTCCAAGAGTCATTTAAATTTTATTTTGTTTCTAAATACATGTTTACAAATAACAAGTTGAACAAGAATCAAGTATTATGATCGTTCAATTGCAACATCAACAACGGGAATGATCAGAAAAACAATCCGGCAATACGGAAACAGTTTGAAATCTGGCTAATGAACTCATAAAAAAGTCATAATCCCCAAAAAGAGAAAAAGGAAAAAGACATCAATATACATGTAGAAATTGAAATGATACCAGAGGAGACAGTTCTGTAATTTGGTGCTTGGGAAGTTTCATGACATCAGCAGAAACTGTTTGAACTCTGGCATCACAGTGAGTGGAAGGAACCTTCACCTTCTGCTCTGCAAGTCCCATATTTTGCACTCATTACAATCAAACTAAAGGAGATGGAATTCCTTAAACTTTTTAGCAAAAGAAACCCACATACACATCTAACTCAAAAAATAGGACAATACAAACTGTAAAGTGAAAGAAGCAGCAAGCAATAAGCAATTAGGCAGACCTTAAGGTCAATCCCCTCCACAGAACTACCATTCTTTAATGGACTCAAGCTCTGACAAGCTACCTGTAATCAAGGAAGGCAATGAACACCCCATTAACGCCACAGAATTCAATCAATGCTACAACAAAACTACTCGTGAGGAATAAAAAGACAGAACGGAAATGACGAGCAGACCTGAAGCCAAGCACCTGGAGCACAGCCAAGGTCAAGAACAGAAGAACCTGATTTTATCAACTTGTACTGATTCTGTATCTGAAGCAACTGCTCGAGCATGGAACATAGAGTAGCGAATTCTTTTAGCATAAAATGCAAGAATTGACAGAGGAAGCAGTGAAGAAGAAGAAACTGTGATGATATTATGAATTCATGAGTACCTTGAAAGCAGAGCGAGCTACATAGCCGAGGCGTTGAGCCTCTCCTTTTCTTTCTCGGACGTAAAACCCTCCGCGAGGTTCTTCTTGTTGAGTTGCAGAGGGTTTTGTGATAGGGCCACTTGGGCCTCCTTTTGGGTTGGACGTCAAAAATTCCCCACCTCGTTTTCTTCTGCCTTTCTTATTTTTTTTTATAGTTTTTTAATGTATGTAGAGACTATATTTTAAAGAGAGTAACACATGTAACTCTATTACTTAATTAAACTATTAATGAATTATTTTTTTACTAAAAACTTGATTTTTTTATAT